CTGGCAGCCGACTGCCAGCGTGCTCCTTAAAAGTTGAGGGAGGTTGTGGATATGAAAGTCTTCAGGCAGTCCAGAAGTGACTGAACAAGTTTGTGGAAGAGAAAAATGAATCTGTCGAGGAGTGCAGCTTCTGCTGGCTCAGGATAACTCTGAAGCACCTGAGCAGGCCAATATGATGCCATGCTGGCCACAAGCTCCCGGCTGACCCCCACCCAGCACCTGCAGAGGGGACAGGACTGAAGGTTAGGCAGGACCCTTGGACTGACCCAGTAGAGCTGGTCTTTTCTTGTGGTTTGCTCCTCTTGGACTCAGGCTAGTTTTGAGGAAGAAAGCAGCTCTTGGCTTTGCAATCTTGCTGTGGTTTCCTGTGACCGTAAGCAGCACTCCGCTTTTCCCCTCTCCCTCCACCGTCTCACCCAAGCCCCACCACCCTTCTTGCCATGTCTTTTCCTACACCCTGTACAGGAGTGGGAGCAGTTCATGAGCCATGACACACACACACAAAAAACCAAAACAAAACAAAGCACTACAGCTACACCATGCAAACTCACATACATACCCATGTCCTCTATAGTGAGACCTGGGCTAGCCTAGCTTGCAGCCCTCCGGGAAGGAGCAAGTGTAGCAAGGCCAGCTGTGCTGTGCCAGTTGTGGGGGGGGGCTAAAATCTGTGAGGCGCCAAACCACTGACCCACCAAGGTGATCACAGGAAAGTCATTCAAGATGTGTGAATTCTTTGGGGGACCCCCTCCCCAAGGGCATTGAAGGCAGAGAGTTTTGTGTAGCTATTTACCTTTTTCTGAAGACCAAATTGCTGCACCGTTGCAAGGCTCCGAGCCAAACATCAGAGCAGAAAAATATGTTCAGACGCACAGCCATTGGTTGGGGGTTTTTTTGCGATTAAAGCAAATATTTTTTTCTTCCTCAAGCCTTGTGCTTAGACAAAGCAAAAATATTTTGGCTGTTGCTCTTCCACTTAAGAAAAATAAAATCAGCCCAAGGCAAACACCCAGCATGGGATCGTTCCACCTACCCTGTTGATGCTTGTAAAGTGCTACGCAAACAGGGCCTTGTAGTGGGAAAGGTGAGGCACCCGTAGTGGTCGTGGGTGCTGCTGGCTCTGCGTGTGAGGCTGGGAAAGCTCTCGCAGCACCACGCACCGGGGAGCAGGCAGCAATCCTCCCGCCCCGTGCTGCATGCATGGCGGGGAGGCACCCGGTTGAAATTGTTAAAGTCCCACGCTGAAGGGCCTCACCGCCCCTTCCACACTCCCCCCCACGGAAAAGCGTGGGGAAGCGCTCCCAGAAGTGTTGGGGAAAGACCCCTGGAACCTCTCTGTGCGAGGCCGGTGCTGTTACACGCAGGTGGGCAGGAGCAGCGAGGCCACGGTGGCACGGCTCTGGTTTTCCCCACAGTTAAATTGAAGGACATAGGGTTACCCCGCTTTGGGGAGAAGGGTGGGGTGGGGGCTGCGCGTGGTCCCCTTCAGCCCTCAGTGAGCTCTAAATCTCGGCCGAGGCGGCCCCGCGCCCTGACACCCAATGCGGGCCCCCCAGGCTTGAATGCGTGGCGGGGACGAACCCTCGGGAATTCGGGGCCAAACCGCGGCGGGGAAGCTCAGCCGGGGAGATGAGCCTGGGGAGCGCATCCCCACGGCACGGGCGCGAGCCCGCGGACGCGAGTGGCGGGGGGGGGGGGGGGGAGGGAGGAGGCGGCGCGGCCGCCAGGGGGCGGTGGAGGCCGCGGCGCCGCGCGCGTGACGGACGCGGGTCGCGGCGTCGGGTGGGGGTGTGGGGGGGGGGGGGCTGTTTTATTTCCTTCTAACGCTCGCACTCCCGTTTTTTTTTCACCCTCAGCGATTAGCCCGCCCCCCCCCCCCCCCCGCCGAAGCCGAAATTCTCAAGGTTTTCAAGTTTTTACCGTGAGACTGAACTATAACCCACCCTCCCCCACGGGCACCCACGGGTTCGGGTGGGCAGGTCTGCACGCGGAGGGGCCACGCGCCCCGTTTTTCAGCCGTGGGGGCCTGGGCTTGTCGGGCATCCCCCCCCCCCCGCCCCTCAGCTCAGGCGCAGAAGCTGAGGCAGAGCAGAAGCCGGCGTGGGCCTCTCCCAAGTCCTTCGTCACGCCAGGCCTCCCTTACCGCTGCCGAAGCGTTACCACACCACACCGTGCCACACCATACTAGCCCGTGCCACACCGCGCCTCTGTCCCCCCCACCAAGCACCGAGACCCCCCGATCCACGCACTGACACGCATCGCGGCGGCAGCAGCAGCACCCTGCGTGCCTCCACGGGCACCTGCGCCTCCGCTCCGGCTGCCTGGGCGCTGACGTGCGGAAAACAGACTCCATAATCTGATAGATTGTAAAGTAGGTATGTTTATTCAGCGCTGGGCACACAGGGGATAACTCCTCCTATTGTGCGCCCTGATATGGCACCGTTACCTTAGATTTATAGAGCAAATGATTACATATTCATAATATTTCGCAATACGCCTATACATATGCATTACCTATCCCTGCTTCGTATTATAATTAGCATTTCCATAATCTCCTCCCAATTGAGTCTGCGCAGTGTCTTCTGGTGGTGGTCGTGGGGGTCTTTGGGGATGAAGTCAAGCTCCTCTTCCTCCTGTCCGCTCTGTGACCCCAGGCTTCGCGCAGACTCAGTCTCTTACTGGCTGTTGTCCAAACCGTAGGTCTAGTCCCAACCGGCTTTGTACTGATAAAGCCTAAAGACTCCATGCCTCAGCTCATCATGTTTTACAAACTATCTACTCATTAAGCAGAACTGTTATCTCAACTATTTCCCTTGTCATCCCCTTCTTGCTATTCCCATATTAACCCTTACATCCCCTGTTCCTATCTAGGCCCTGTATCAGGCGCCCTGGAAAAGTGGCGGGGGGGTGCGTGTGGGTGGGTGTGTGGGTGTGGTGGGATGGTTGCCGCGCACGTGTGTGCTAGACAAAGGGTGCTTTAGCCCAGCAGGAAAAATGTGATGGCTGAAAACTTCTCGTGGGCGACACACACACCCTGCCCGGTGTGTTGTTGGATCATTCGCTGGGCTGGAGGAGCCGCGTCTTGGCACCTCTTCGCCGCCAATATGGGGTGCAAACGGTCCCAAGCAACCTCCCCCTCAGTTATTAGACCGTGAAAGAGGCTTTCTTTGAAACGTAGGGCAGGTGAGCGTAGCAGCCGGACTTAAACTTGTTCCTCACTCAGTTCGGAGCGGGAAATAAATTCCCGTTACCCAAACAAGGAGTGAAAAACGGCTGTGGTGGGCTTTGTGTGACAAGTCACAAAAGATGAGCCGGGAGTAACTGAAAAAAGAAGCCACAGATGGCATAGGAATTTTCCACACAGTTCAGCACATACTTAATAATGAAAAAAAAAATAGAATTGGGGCACAAACAGCTGATCTAGTAAGTGACAGGCTACATTAGGAAGAAATCACACAAATGAAAGTGCTACAGGCTTGCAGGGGCTCTGGGGACATCCTGGTGGATTTGCTGCCTTTTAGTCACCAGCTAGAGTTTAACAGCGACTGTGCTGCCGAGCGTGCCTGTGGCACCTGCCCTCCACCCAGCAGAGAGGGGCTTTTCTCCTCATAAACTGCAGGTTGTGAGAGGGAGCGGTTGCATTTCGGTCCTGTGGGGCTCTTCCGGACAGGGGCCTTTTGTTTGGGTTTTTTTGGCTCTGCCCTGCCATTAGAAATAGCTCTTCATGGTAGTAAGCGTGTGTTCTTTCTTCCGCAGCGGGATCAGTCGCAACATAGAGACTCATCTCCCATCTCCGCACTTGATCATCTTCCCGCGCTCCTTCTGTGTAAAACGCTGCACATACATATGTATTTATGTATCTGTATGTGTGCACGTACATGTACATAGGCATGCGTGCGTACACATACATGTACCTCTACATATATGTGTACATGTACACACATGCGTACATATACACGTACATATATGCATACAGCATGTACATACACGTGATGAACATGATTTTACAGATCCATAGCCATGTGCATCTCCCTGCCCCATCATACAGAAAAGGCTGCCAAGGCTCGGTACTGCAGGGCGAATTTAAAAGAGCACCGCTGCTGGCCTTTAAAGGCATCCAGAAGAGGGAACCCATAAATGAGAGGATGAATGAGAAGATGTCAGGAGTGTTAGCACTTAATATTCCTGGAGCGAGGCTGTATTATTTGTTGCTGCGGCAGCGTGCTCCTCCCTGCCCCCTCCGCCAGACCCCCCGTGCCTGCGCGCACACACACGCACGCACCTTCGTTTCCCACCCTTCTGAAAAACCAACCTCCCCGGCACACCCCGGACCCTCGCCCCCCATAGGTGTCGTGCCACAGTGCCATAAACACAGCAGCGAAGCCTTCCTCCACCCCGATTAGGGAGTAAATAATTGCGGAGCGGCCCCTGGGCGGGGAGGCATCTTCTGGTTGGGCCCTTATGTTATTGATCGGACCGCCGTGATGAATCAGCCAGGCCCTACAGACAGGCCCTGGCCACCGCGCGGAATTACAACGAGCCCTGGCATCCCAGGGCCAGTGCTGGGAAGGTGGCGGAGCTGGGCGACGAGGGGGCTGGTGGCCGGGGAGCCGGGGGCAAGGGGTAGCCGGGATGCGCCGTGCCAAGGCGTGAGCCGTGCTCCCGCGCCAGCAGCTCCCCGCCGGAGGCACAGCGAGGGGACGGGATGGGGTCGGCAGCCGGGGCTGAGCCTTCACGCTTGCTCCGGGCCCCGTTTCTCCAGTTTGGGTATTGGCTGGGGAGAGCTGCGTGCCGTCGGAGCGCTGGGCAGGAGGGGAGGATGCTGAGGGGCTGGCGGGCAGGAGCCGGTGGTTGGGCTGGACGGGGGCTCTGCTAAGCGGGACGGCGGCTGCGCCCTGCAGCCCCCCGGGAGCAAAGCGCCGTGGTCCTGCGTTACCACCCCGTCTCGCCCAGCCGTGTGTAATCTTGTCCTCTTTTCTCTCCCTTCTTGCACCCTGCAGGACCCGGCACAGGGAGAGTAGACAACGGCTCCATGAGCTTGGCCGTCCCACTGTGGCTGCTGGCAGCGTCCCTGCTCTGCCTACTCAGCAAATGTTAATACAGATCAGAATTTAAAATAATAATAATAATAATAATAAATAATAATAATAATAATAATAATTAAAAAAAACCCAACCAACACGACAACAACAACACACAAAACAAAAACGCGTTATACAGGAGACAGAGCGAAGAGAGGGGAGAGAGAAAAAAGAGAGGGGAGAGAGAAAGAGAGAGGGAGAGAGAGGACTGTTTCTTTCACAACTTTTGTGTGTTCAGGAGCGAAGAGGGGGGAAAGGAAAAATTACAGCAAAGAAGACTCAGCAACATTTAATCTGAAACCTGACAAGCCGTCTGTCAAGTCACCAACCGTCTAGGAGGCAACACAAAGCGAGGGAGAGAATGGGGCACCAGCAAGGATCGTGTCGCCGGAGGATGCTGCAATGTAAACAATCCAACAAAACCTGCAAAGCCAATCGAACTGAAGATCCCTTTTCTTTTCTCTCCTCCTTCCTCTTTTCCATACTCCCTCACCTTCCTTCCTTCCTCCTCTTTCTTTCTTTTGCAGAAAGAGGTCTTTGCTTCGGTGTCCGTAGCCACTTAACTTTTTGGATGCCCTGGGTCATTTTTGTGAGCCAATGCTCAGCCAGTTCATACTTTTGAAAGCAAAAACAAAACAAAACAAACAAACAAAAAAAAAAAGGCAAAATAGCGCCACAAACCAGAGCAAGTCACCTGAAGCTCTCTGCACACTGGTGTCCTGTGAAGAACCCCTTCCTCTCTTCACTTCACCCTGCGCCCCTGTGCACCCAGCCCTTGCTGAACACCTTCTTTCTTGTCCCCTCCGCCATACATCATTCTGGCTGGCCTGAACTAAAGCAGTGTTAACTCTATTTCTTTTTTTTTTTTCTTTTTTAAAATCCTCTTCCTCTCCCCCCCCTCAGTTCAACCCGGTGTCTTTCTACTGTGTATGCCTGTGTGCGTGCGTGCATGCATGTATGTGTGGCCCTCACTCCGTCTTCTCTCTTTTTCTCTTGCTCTCTCTAAGCATGCAAAAGGAACAGTCCATGTGTACATATGCCCATCCCGTTGTAGATAACGTCCTGCCTTGTAAGTGTGAGACAAGATGCTGAGAGATCACTCAGGCAGAGAAGAGGGGTGAGGAGAGAGGGGCAGCTGCAGCACAGGTTCCCATGGTGTCCCCTCTCTGGCGTTCCTCACTGGCTTTTTGACTCCTGGCCACCCTCCTTGCAGGAGTCAGTCTGCACCCTTGTTTAGCCTTTTTTTTCTCTCCCACCTGCAACCTGTCTGGCCCTCGGCCTTCAAGTACCAGCACAGCAGCCCCTGCTACGCATGAGTGCTTGCACACGCGCGTGGGGGTGTGCACACGTGCACGTTTGCCCAAATCAGCAGAAGAAACCCGGACTGGCCTGCAGCGCTGCGGAGCGCAGAGTGCGGCCGCCCGTTCCTCTTGGGGAGGTGGGATGTGAGTGATGAGACCTTGGACATCACCGAGCAGCCATTCCTGTAGGTATAGTGCATGCGTAGGAACGATGCCTCGACGTGAAAACCGCAGTCTGGTCATTCCTAACCATTTTGGTAGTCATGCAGAAATAGAACCGATACCCTTTTTTGTTGTTGTTCTTACTGTCCTCCCTGTTATAAAAGGAAACGTATGCCATGGAAGGGTGAGTGTGAGAGTGTGTGTGTGTGTGTGTGTGTGTGCGTGTGCACGTATGTATATTGTACACCACTGCTACTGCAAAGCTCACTTTGCAAATTCCACATTTGAAACAAATTGATTCAGAAAATGTCCAGGACCAGGGAATGTAAGAAGAAAAACAAATGTCAAGTCCAAGATCCTGGGCTTATAAAGAAGGAGCTGAAAGAGGCGCAGCAAAGAAGTAGGCAGCACAATTCCCCTTAGCTCTTCTCTTGTCTCATCTGAAGGGTGCTGGTCTTGCTGGAGAGGGCTACCACTTGCCATCAACCCTCCCATGGCAGAATCACATGCAGAGGTGGCAACAGGAGATGCTCCAGTGGCTCCTAAGCGAGGAGAAGGAGAGGGGGAGGACAGGCTGTGAGAAACAAGGTTAAGAAAATGCCGGGTGGTGGCTGGAAATTGCCACAGCGGCAACGGGTCTGCTGCAGGAGCCAGAGTGAGCAGGGGGAGAGGGGAAGCCGACAGTCCTATGCTCCGGTGGCTGCAGTGCATGTGTGCGGGCAGGGGCAGTGGGGACACGCCTGTGTTTCCTGGCCAGTCACAAGCCCTAGCATCCACAGCAGCAGAGATGATAAAACGCAGGGTTTATCAGGTAGCCACTTGTTTTTCAGGGCGGGGAAGGATGTACAGGGAGGAACTTGGGTTAGCCCACACCACTCGAGTGACCATCCCACGGCAGTACAGTGTTTTACAGGTGCTGGGCACCACTGAGCTCTCACGCAGCAGCAAGCTTGCGTTTCTGGCTTTGCCCTGTGAACTGGCGCAGCAGCAGCACGCTTGGCAGCCATGCTCGCACACTCTTGAGGGCAAGGGGGGAATTGGGGCGTGCGGGAGGGGATACCCCCCCACCCCCCTCTTGGTGGTCCCCTGCCAGGAAGGCAAAGTGGGAATTGGTGTCTGTGAGCCAGTCCCCAGCTTTGCCTGGCCGGGACACGCTCTGCCAAGGCGTGTGGCTGCTGCTCAGCGCGGTGCTTTCGGCTTGCACGGCGGTAATGCCGGCAACCTGCCCGCTCTGCTCTCTGCTGAGCTCAGCTCTTCCGGGCAGCAGCGGGCAGGCAGGTAATCAGGCAGCCAAGAATGAGTGAGGAAATACTAAAGGGAGACACGAGAGGCTGAAGTTTGGGTGATGGCAGACTTGCTATAGATCTGCTGGAGGTTTGCATGGGGGTAAATTAGGCTCCCCCCGCTCCTCCAGGCCCCAAAGCCATGCAGGGGTGTCTTTGTGCCTTGGCGCAAGAGGGGAGAGCTGGGCAACTGGTGTGTGAAATTTGCACAAGGCATCCAGGACAGCTCCCTGCTTCTGAGATAGGGTGGTCCTTGGTGGGACTTGTGCATCTCCTTTGGAAACTGGCATGCCCAGGAAAAAAGTGCCCTGTATCCTTCAGGGCATTCAGACACCCCAGTCCTCATGCCTATCTCTCGGGAGGGTCGTGTCATTCAACGTCTTAATAACAACTCCAGATTTCCTGCTGCAACAGGGCTCCTCATCCCCCTGGTACAGCCGTGAGCTGAGACTGCTCCCAGAAGCCGGGGCTGGGAGCTGCACCCTCTCCAGTACGCTGGCACGAGGGAAGACACGGCATCGCTGGCATTTCTCGTGCTCGGGGCTGTACCTACGCCTGGGTTTATTGTCACAGGCTTGTTGCGTGAAGGTGGGCAGCCTGCAGTGACACGCTGTCACAAGTTGTTCCCAAGGGCTGGGTCAAGCCCACCGTTTTCTTTAGGTTGAGGCTTCTCTTTGATGTCAACCTGGTTGCTGTTGTAAGGTCAGTCCCATGTGTTGTCTTCTGCCCGTGTTTTTGTCTCTGTAGGGTCACTCCTAGGCACTGGGTTCACACACACTCAAGCCCTATGGTGTGGTGGTGGTCACAAGTCCCGGCACCTCGTTGTCTTACATCTTTTTTTGGTTTGAAGGATTTTTGAAGGGATTTTTTTTTTTTTTTAGATGTCAAGGCACAGAGGCTTATGGTTAAAGCAAAATATATAACTAAAACCAGGACACCTGTTTGTTTTTTTTTTTAAGCCATCTGCCTATTAGCTAGAGGAAACAGCCACAACCCTGGTGCTGGGATCTGGTCTTGCCTACAGGACCTGGGCAGATCCATGCCTCTGTCGCGTGGCTGCGAGAGAGGGTTAAAGCCAGTTATTTGGAGACCTGGCTGAGAAAAGCCACAAATCCCAAGTATGCCTGTTACCCGCAGCAGTGCTGGGAGCCCCACTCCTAGCAGCGGCTGTTCGTAGCAGGGCTGGGGGAGTCATGGGTGGGCTGGAGCTTGATTTACTCTGAGAAGCGAATCCCGCGAGCTGCCGTGTGCGCCACGGGATGCTGTGAACATCCCCACTGTTCCTCCTGAACTCGAGCAGGGATCGCAGAAAGCAGCTGTCGAGAGGAGAGCCCAGACGAACATGGGAAACGCAGGCAAGGTCAAATGCTTTTCCCCATTCTCTTTCTCCCCTCTGCCCTTTGACAGAGATGTTGCAAAGGGGTTGTTCATGTCTCAAGCCCTTTTCTCTGAAGCTGTTTCTCCTCCTCACCTCTACTCCATGTTCATGTTGCTATCTTCCCCATCCCCTAACGAAAAGCTGCGCTCTTGCTTCCTGCTGCCTCTCAGCTGGTTGGGGACTGGGGGAGACGGGGAGTTTGGAATGGGACACCAGTTCTTTGAGCTTGTTAGTGTAATTGTGTTTGATTGATGGCGATTTAACATTTAGTGTTATAAAGAGAAATGAACAAAATGGAAAAAAAAAAAAAGAAAAAAAAAAAGAAAAAAATTGTATTTCTTCTACTGGTTTGTAAATATTACAAGAGTTACTTGAGATGTCTGGTAATGTCCAAGCAGAGGAACAAAGACTTAGATTTAATATATGGCCCCATACTTGCTAGCAGATTTCTAACCCTTTTCAGATGACCGAGAGGAGGGATGAAGGCAAGTCTTTCTGAAAGGAACTGGACAGGGGAAATGCAGCCACCCCGAGCCACATGAACTCCATGCATGACTATATCATGTTGCTTGGAGCGTGTGTCTGGTGAGATGGGAAACGAAGCAGACGCCTGTCTCTGAACGGCTGGGAAGGGCGACGTGGGACGCTCCAGCCGACACCTGTATCTTGGCAGTTGCGTTCATTTTTGTTTGTTTGCGGCCCCGCAGCTTGCGGGTATGTTGCTCAGTGATGCACTCCCCTCCTCCCCCCTTCCCACTTTCTTCACCGGTGAAGTTGTGTCGCCCCATGCTAGCACCAAGTGCATGTTAACGTGCCATTCATGAAGATTTCATTGGTGACATCCATTGTGTCGAGAGTTAGTCTTTGTCTGCACACCTTTCTCACGCCACTGACTGTTCACCGCTTGGGCAGATCTCTCGTGTACTGCTGCTTGCCCCACTTTTGGTCAAAGTATATCCAAGCCCCACCAGCTCTTCTTAGCTCCAGGTGCATCCAGACCGTGCCCCCAAGCCACCTGTCTGAGCAACCCCATTTCGAAAGTCCAAACTCACAGCATGGACAAAGTCACCGTCAATAGCCACATGGTCTCCAGGCGGAGCAGAAGCTGCACATCTGGAAGGAATTTGGGGGAGCAACAGCGAGTCCTGATGATTCAAGGGTGTTTGGGGAAGAGGATCGGGAAGTTGGAGGAGCTACTTTTAGAGTCCTTCACAGCCCAGCCGCCAGGTGATGTTTCAGCTCAAGCTTCGGGCAGTGCTTTATAGCTTCACCCCTCCCTGATGAGGGAATCTGTGGGCACAGGGAAACAGCTCTTCTCCTCCCAACCCCTCTCAGACCTCTGCTTCCTCTCCTCCAAGCACACTGACCCACAGCCCAAATCCTCACTGTGCTTGATGTGATATAGCAACTGACAAACAAGGATGGCTAACCAAGACAGACCTGCAGAGGAGATGATAGCAGGGGTGAGCAGTTCTCTCTCTTTTCTGGTGGTGCACAATCTTACCGCTTCTCTGACTCAAGTACACGAAAATTCTCGAGTTGGGGATGCTGGGAACAAGCTGTCCCATGGAAAGAGCAGAACTTCAGGCAGGGAAGTGATGGAGAAACTGGATGGTGATTTCCAAGATGTGATGCTGGTGGAAAAGGGTAGGGATGAGTGCTGCCCGTTGTTCATGCGCAGAACTCCCAGGTTCACCTGTGAGGAGACTGTGGCCTCTCATCGCTAATCTTAGAGCGGCTTCATTTCCAGTGGGATGCCGAGAAGATTTTTTTTTTTTTAACTGCATGACTCCTGCTGACTAAGAGCTGTGTCACACCATTAAACCTCTTTCTCTTTTCCTTTTTGTAACTTGCTAGAACCATGTTCAGGCAGCTCCTACAGCCCCCCCCCCCCCCCCCAAATTTTGCTTGACAGTTGGCTCCCATTTGGGCAATATGTGGTGTTTGCTTGTTGATTCACTCACCATAACAGGAAAGCAGAAGTCAGCTTGGCTAGGATATGTTGGTATGGTCCTCTGTATCTCTGTGGCTTGGGCGATGTGTGTGAGGCAAGGAGACCAGACAAGGCAGGGCTTGGGAAAGAGGAGCAGCAATCCTAATTAGCCCAGGCAGGTGGCAAGCAAAGGGTCCTTCACTTGGTGCAGGCTCAGGTTAGCCGGCGCCACGACAGCTCAACCTCCCTGCAAGCCTTGTAGAAGTGCCCAGGCAGCCGAGGAGGAAGGGGCAGCGCAAGTCAGGAGGGCACGGCTGCAGCGCGGGCAGGGGGGGACGCGCGCACAGCAGGGCTCCTTGGGCAGCGCGGCTGGGGAAGGGGCAGAGATCACATCCCAGAAGGGCCGTTCCCAGGTAGCGCAGGACCTTCCCTCCCTGCCTGTGCTCCCGGTGCATCAGGCGCTCGCCCCCCGCCCCTGCCCCTCCTTGCCCCGGGGCGTGCAGACCACGCTGCGACGGGGAGCGAGGCGGTGTGACACCGCGGTGGCTCCGGCCGCGCCCCGGGAACAGGCGTGTGGACGTTTCTAGACGTTAACGTATGGGCCGCGGATGGAGACGAGGAGCGAGACCACCTCGGAGCCAGCCAGCGAGGAGAGCGCCTCCCAAGCGGGGCTGTCCTCCTCCGAAGGGATGACGTTTGCTCCCCGTTTCGGCCACGCACGGGCACACGCGCACACCCCCCTCCCCGCCACCTCCACCCACCGCTGCAGTAGCCCCGATGGCTACCACACAGGCGCTCTCCTTTCCCGCGCCCGCCGGCACACCCGCTCCTCCGCTCGCCCCCGGCGACGGCTCCGCCGGCCCGCACGGCCACCCGGTGTGCCCAGGAGAAAGCGCGCGTGTGCGTGCAGGGGCACGCGTGTGTGCCAGGAGAGGGAGGAGGGGGCAAAGAGCAGGCACCTGCCTCCGCGCTGCCGCTGTCACCTCCCCAAAACCTTTCAACTTTCCCAGCTGGAGCCAAGTTTCGTCCTCTAGACCTTGAGAATGAAGGCCAGTCCCTTCTTCTTGCTGCACGGTGGGGTGGTTAGAACTCTCCTCATTAACAGTGTTATATACATATAAATATATATATATATCTATATCTTTATATATATTTTTCCCCAGCACTGTAGACATGAGCTGAACTTCTCTTTAACGAAACGAGAAAACGGCCGTTTTATTTTTTGCCATTGGTTTGTTTTTGGAACTAGCTCTGTGAAAGAAAATTTTAAAAGCGCAAGTATGTGTGTAAAACAACCGATCAAAAAAACCAAAAAAAAAAAACAAAAAAACAAAAAGCAAAAAACAAAACAACCCAACAAATGAATGAACAAAACCCAGTGATGAAAAAAAAAAAGAAAAAAAGGAAGCTTTTTATTTTTTCTTTTCTCAATGTATTTAACTTCTGTTATCTCGTTTCTGTTTCTTTACATGTATGAATGCTCTGCTCTTCTGTGATCTTAAAAAAATACAAAAAAATACAAAAATTAAATAAACGTGAAAAGGAGGTGATGTTTCTTCATTCCCCCTCCCTTCCTTGCAGGCCCTAGCTTGTCTCCTCTCTGATCGTGCCTAGTGATGGCTTCCCAGCCCACCCGCCCAGGGGACACGGGCCGGGCTGCCCCTTCCCCCACCTTCCTCGTTGGGGCGAGGTGGTGCAGGGTGCAAGCAGGGCAGGGACAAGTGACATGGGGCTGAGGGTGCTGGGTCCCCCCTAGCAGACCAGCCCCTCCTGGGGTGCAGCGCCTGGGGGTGAAGGGAGCAGACTGGCAGTAAATACGTGTGAATTGGGGCTGCCACGAGGAGAGGAGGGGCGCAGAGGCTGTCTGCAGCTCGGTGGAGTGGGCGAAACTGCAGTGCCCGACCCTGAAGCCAGTGCTTGCCTTCAGGTCTTGCAAATAATTTTTTTTTTTTTTTTATAAATGAACTAGCATAATTATGTGTGTGCCTGCACGTGTGTGTGCGTGCAGGTACAGGTCAGGATCGGGGTTGCAGTCTCAGGAAGGGAAGAGCAAGGAAGCAGGTGGAAGGGGGTGGGCTGGGGCTGAGTGTCACAGGCAAGCACGGGAGAGGAGCACCAAAAGACAGAGCAGGATGATGGAGATGGAGGAGGAGGCCGGTAGGGAAGAAGGCAGGAGATGCTGGCCAAGAAAATAGAGCGGGACGCAGCACTGGAGAGGCCAGGTTTTATGTCAAGGAGGGAGAGGGGAGACAGGGGAATGGAGCAAGGGAAGCCAGGACAAGGGGGAGACTGGCACGAGTCTTGTATCAAGGGCACAAGCAGGCGTGAAAGGACGAGGTTAGAAGAAAGAGAACAGAAGGGAGGGGGTAGCAGAGAAGCCAGGGCGTGTTTACAGGAAAACACAGCCAAAGGGGCAACGAAACCACGAAGTGGGACCCAAGGAGTCTGGCGAAAGGAGGAAGCAGCACCTGGGATATCTCAGCACGGTAAGTATGAGGGATGGAGAGCCCAGGACACAGACAGCCAGATCACTCCAGTGGCGAGATGTGTCCAGCACCTCAGTGCCACCCCGGGGGTCGCAGCCTTGTGACACCTCCCTTGTCCTGCTGGGAGAACTCATATTTCCTGGCAGGTCCCGGGGACTCAGCCCAATGGGCTACTGCCCAGGGCAGGGGCGGGAGGGGGATCCAGGCCCTGGCTGTGAGGCTGAGAGCTGGGGGGGGGGTTGCAGCCCCGGGGCCGGGGGTGGGGGGGACGGAGCAGCGTGGGCCCACGCCTGGGGAAGGGCAACCCCCACGCCAGCATCTGGCCACACGAGCCCGGGCTCAGCCCGCACGGTGCGAGAGCCTGGCTGCAGCTCTCAGAGCAAGGTGGTCTCGCCCTCGCGCACTGCTGGAGCGTGAAAAGACAGGGCTTCTTATTTCTAGGTCTGCTCTGCCCAGCAACTGTGTGTGATGCCTTTGTTGCCTCTGTTTCACCTTCCATCTTTGCCTCTACTGCCTGTTTACTGTTTGCTGGGGCAGAGACTTGAGACTTACCTATTCCATGAAAAGGTTTATCTGGTTTTGTTTCTGGAACGTAACACACAGGACAACGAAAGCCTGGTTTTCAGTAGAGTATGGACTTGTTTCTTTAACTGCATTAAATTAAATAAAACCTGCTGTCAGAAGCTCAGCACAAACAGCATGCTAAGCAGGAGTACGTCAGTGAGCGTGAGGCGTAAGCAGGACTGTGAACGTGAGTGTGGCTACCACTTAGTACGCCTTTGCTATTCAACAACAAGGAGAAGCAATGGATTACGAACCCTCCTCCACCACTGTCACTCTCTTTCATGGCACTGGGAGAG